ACAAGTCCAACACAAGCTCGATTCAACCAGCACCATTCAAAGGCATGAAGCATCATTGAGAGGTCCTTCGAGATAATTAAAGCAAGGTGGCGGAGCATCTTTTTTAAAGCTTTGGAGGTGAAGCCCAATTTTGCCCCTGCTGTGATTGCTTGCTGTGCCATTCTTCATAACATTTGTCTCACCAATGGTGACATTTTGGAGCCAGTTGAGGCAGCACTTGTGCCAGATGACAACAATGATGCACTGCCACACAACCAAGACCCTCAGGGTGGAGAACAAATAAGAGAGCACATTATCAGTGTGACAGCACATTATCAATGTGACAGCTCTCAGGGATCATGACTACATTCAGCTATAGTGAGAATCCTCTGCTGAACAGATTTCTGGAATCTGGAAAAAACTAAATATTAATATCTGTTACCTGATAAACCAGTCCCCTGTAACATCTTATTCAAGAAACTCGGTTTTCACATTGAAAGAATAAGCATACAATAACTTTACTTGTCAGAAGAGGTTCCTTAATGTAAATACATAATTATATTTCACATTTTAATTATAGAATTACTGATGTATATAGTATTATCATAAAAATAAAAACGAATGAACTGATCCCCTGTAACCAATAATTTAAAAAACTGTATTGCTTGCAATAGTAAAAATGAGAAAACAACAAGTTCAATAACCGTTTTTATTATTATTATTATTATTATTTTGTTTTACAAATTCACATCTTATTAACAATTCTCTCCAGTAGGTTCATCAATTTTTCCTCTCTTTCCTCTGATCTTCTTTGCCTGGCCTCAGACCTCTCTGCCTCTTTTTCCAGGAACTCCAAAACTGGATCCCTACGCTGTCTTTTTGCTGGCAAGGGGTAGCCTCGCTGTCACCTCTTTCAAGCAGGTCTGTGGAGCTGGGAGGTGGTGTGGTGGAAGAGGAGGCTGAATTGATGGCCTCCCCCCAATAGCTTCCTGCAGTGGTCTCCCCTGACTCTGTACCCACACCTGATGGTGGTATTTATCAGACATTTTACAAAGTTTGTTCAGAATACAAACAAAAACCATTCTCTCTTTTGTATGGATACCTGCACATATAGGACTAGAAGGTAATGAAGTGGTGGATCAAATAGCGAAAAAAACATTAAAACATCCAGACATAGAATTTAATGTTCCAATGAGTAAATTAGAAATAAAAGGGCTAATTAAAAAAGCATTAAAAGATATATGGCAAAGTAAATGGGATGGTGAGAATAAAGGACGGCATTTATATAATATTCAAAAAACAGTTGGAAATGAGAGGAGAATTTTTGGGAATAGAAAGGAAGACGGCATAATATCTCGCCTTAGAATTGGACACACTGCACTTAATCAATCATTATTTATTATAGGAAAACATGAGTCTGGACTTTGTGGTAAATGTGATCTTCCTGAAACAGTTGAACATATTTTAATAAAATGTAAAGGATATGACAACGAAAGAGTACAACTTACAGAAGCACTTCATATAGAAATAAATCAGATCTCACTTCAGAAATTGTTAAATAAAGATGTGACTATAGAAATGTTTCACATATTATTTAAGTATCTCAAAGATACAGAGTTAATAAACAGGATTTAAAGAATCACTACTAATTTTTTATTTATTTTATTTATTTATTTTTTTTAGTTTTCCTTTAACGTCAATGCTCCACACTCCATCCGAGTAGGTGGCGGTAAATGCACCTAAAGCTGGTTTGCCAACCGCCATAAAACGTCAAAGAAAAAGAAGAAGAAGAAGAAGAAGAAGACGACGACGAAAACGAAATCGATGCAAACCAGATATTATAGTATGTGAAGGCGATTTAATGACAATTTTTTATCCAACATTAATGAAAGTTATTTTGTGTAAAGTGCACCCGCGCGTTTGTAACAGAAAAGGTGCGTAGCTTTTCGAGACTGAGACAACTGAATCAAATCACAGCGAGATTTAGCTTGCATTTGTTGTTCTTTCTGTTAGTTATTCTTATCTTACCTCTGATAAAGCGACTGAGATCGGGACACTACACTATTATTATAAAGATGGCGTTTATTAAAGAGGAGGGTGAAGACGTGAGGATTGAAGAAGCTTTCAGAGTCAAACATGAAGATACTGAGACACAAACAGGTTGGTTTTCGATCTCAAAACTAAACGCAATCATTTCATCTTGATCAAAATGTCTACTTCTACAAAAATGAACGATCTTTTTGAAAATGTCATAATTAAAGCCGTTTATTTTACATGGAGCTATAAGGAGAAACACACATTGTCAAATACCACAGTTTTTTTAACCGATATAAAGTTGGTTCGAAGTTTGACGTTGGATATTAGACGGATATTCAGCCGCGAAAAACTTCAATCAATTCTTAGTGCATGAGTATAATTGTATACAAAATGGGTTATCTGAAAAGCATTAAAACGTAGAACTGAACACACATCGCAGTTTATGTGTTTTAATCGTCCTCTATATGTTGAAACGCATAAAGTCTCTAGCAGCGGCGAGCTAGCGCTTAGGCCAGCTAGGGACCGTCTACAAAGTACATGTACAGGATAAAACGATGAATGTTTATCCACCGGAATGTTTTTTATAATTAACAAAACAAGAGCAAATAGTGCACCAAGCTCTTTGAAAGATATAAAGACAAACACTTATAACGCTCACTTGAATTTAAATAAGAAATATTGTAAACAAGATATGTGATAGTGGTTATTATTATATTATTACTATTAATAAATATATTAATAAAATAAAAATAATATTAAAAATCATTATCATTCCATAATTTAGTGGTTATGCAGTAGGCTTATTCCAGGTCCTTGTGAGAACATTTTAATATTTGTTGTTTTCACAGAAGTTTGACACCAAAAAACACACTATTGAAATTTAAACCAATAAATAAATTAATTTAAAATTAATAGACTCTTCTGTATTAACCTCATGTCTTTGTTACTGTTTTTATAAGAACATTTTTATATTTGTTTTAGTCACAGAACTATAATAGAAAACGAAAACAAAGCCAAAACAAATCCTGGCCAGGACGCGTCCTGGGAAAATGGCACGTATGGTCACCCTATTTTAATATCATGTGTTGTCTTATAGTTCTGTGAATAAAACCAACATCTACATGTTTGTTTAGGAACCACTAACAAGACACACCCTTTGAAGTTAAGATAGAAGAGCGTATTTACTTTACATTGATTGATGTATTCGTTGACATTTCAATATCACGTGCTGTGTTATAGTTTTGTGAATACAACCAACATTTAAATGTTCGTCTATGAACCAGTAACAAGACACACCCTTTGAAATTGAGATGGAATACTGTATGTTTTAAAAATGAATGTTTTAACAGATTCAAATTTAATTCAATAGCGTGCATCCTGAATTACATATGATAGTAAAAGATGGCTGTAAATATTGTTCTTTGAACAAGTAACAAGACACACCCCTTGAAGTTTAGATATCAAACTGTGTGCATTCTAAATTAAGTTATTTAAATTTCTGAATGTCAAACTTGGTCAAAACATGTGCAATATATTCCTCTAGGGAGCGGTAAACTGCAGTCTTTGTAATGCTTTGCAAGCTTTTTCTCAATCGTTCCATTTCAATAACTTTTGTTGTGCTATAGTTCTGTGAATAAAACCAACATCTAAATGTTCTTTTATGAACCAGTAATAAGACACAGCCCTTAGATTTGAGATGTATTTTTTTATACATTTCACAAATGAAGCATTTAGATGGAATAATTGTGCTTTTTGCTCTTCGTTTTGCACTTTGCAGACGGTCCCTATTCTGCACCTTTACATTATGCGGTCTATCAGTTACAATACCTTAAGGCAGATTAAAACAAATAAAACAGATTGTGTGTTCTCTTCTACATTTGAAAACAATTATAACACATTATGTTTCTTGTCCTTGTGCTAAATCGTTAAAGAACTATTGAAGATTTCCGAGGCTGAATCTCTGACAAATGTCAAACCTCAAACGTCGAACCAACTTTATATCGGTAGTTTTTTTTCTGACTTGTCTAATTTACTCATTTACTTACCTCCTACTTTTAATGTTGTAAGAAATCAAATACATTGCTGGACAATAACCACTAATTTGTATTCTATAATATTTTCCTAATGACAATTTTATGACTTATACATATGTTACCATTTTATGGTTTGTATAGAGAATGAGGAGTTACGTCACGATCTTTTCACTCCGCGTTGCATTTCGGGAAGGCGCCGCTATATTAGCGGGATACGCTATCCGTTCCCATGGTTACTTCTCATTCTCTATAAGGACAACTGCTTATCTTTTGTTTTGTTTTTGCCTTTAAGTTAAACAATCATTCATTCTTCATTGTATCGTTTGCAGGTAAGAGAAGCTATTTTATCGCACTGCATGATACATAGATTTTTTCTCTCTCAGATTTTGTGGAATTGTGTTTACAATGTTTACCTGATTAGCGTGAAAACAGTGTCGCTCGCTGCTGCTTCAGCCACCATATGGTAGATTATTATCCAAATAAAGTGTGTGTTCAACAAGCTGACAGAAGTCCATCCATTTCTTTGTTGGAAACTTTTAAATGACAAAGTATAATTGTTGTCATAAATATTCATTTTTCCATGGCCACGGAGGAGAATCACAGATTGTGGGTCACATTCAGCGAACAGTCACGAACTCACTGTACTTTTTATATTTATTTCAACAAATGACAAGCAAAATCAAATCCCTAGGAGCTTGGGGAAAGTTTTGTAGCATTTTCAAATGCTGGTTTAATGTGCTAAGACAGTGATGCTAAAAGACATGCAGATGAGCCAGAATATTAACGCGACATGTTTAAATGTAAAGCGTTTTCCTCTCTTTAGAAAACTGTAATCTAGAAAGCGCTTCTGGATTAAGACAGCGATTTCTAAAGTTCATATTTTGGGCTCATCTGTTTTTCCACACATATTATGCTTTATTAGTAAGATGTGTGTACAGAATGTGGTCTTTAAATATCACTGTCTCGGTGCATTAAGCGCGTTCTTTATATGAGAGGAAAATGCTTAACGTGTAAATAAACGCGTTGCGTTCACATTTTGATCTTATATGCATATCTGCACATAGTATATGCTTTACAATTTTGTCTTTATCACTGTCTTGGTACATTAAGCCACTTTAAGCATTTTAGAAAGTCCCCTGTTCAAGTTCTGCTAATTCACAAGCCTAGTGAGAGTGTCATGCTCGCAAAGAAGGTAATGTTAACTATTAAACCAACCAAATCAAAACTTTCAAAAACACACAGCAATGTGATTCTTTTATTGAGTGAGAGTCAGTGGGTTTAATCAGTGACATTAACAGATTTACTATTCGGCGTCTTCTCCGCGACCTCCTTCCCTTGGTGTTTTTACACATAGAAAAGGCAAAAAAACATATAGCATTGTCCAGTTTTCTCTCAGAACGATGATCTGAGTTACTATTGCAATTATCGATGCAGTATGAATGACATACACTGGTGACATTTTTCACAATCACGACAAACAATCAAATACTGCCCTAAACTCAATAGCGGAAAGGCAGCGCTATCCTGCAAGTATGGCCGATAAACAAAGCAGTTTCCCAGAACTCAACGCGGCGTTACGTCACATTCTCATTCTTTATAGACAGACACGATGAAGTCATTTGCTATTTTGAGAGAGAGAGACCGCGCGTGGTGATTCACTCACGCTGTTTGTGAAATTACGTCTCACACAAGGTTTTCAGATTACTTTATGAGTTATTTAATGAAGAAATATGAAGGTGAGTACCTCACATTCAGCATTATAATTTTACCTGCGCCGGACAGAGACTGAGACGGTGCCACGTCGTGCCAAACCTTCTCACGGCAGGCGCGTAATCAGCTTGAGATCGGCCTTTTCAGAGACGCCGATCAAACATCCCAAAGCGATTATAGCCGATCAATCGGAGCACCCCTACTATCTTCTTCACGATCTTTTCACTCCGCATTGCATTTCGGGAAGGCGCCGCCATATTAGCAGGATACGCTATCCGTTCCCATGGTTACTTCTCATTCTCTATAAGGATAAATGCTTATCTTTTGTTTTGTTTTTGCCTTTAAGTTAAACAATCATTCATTCTTCATTGTATCGTTTGCAGGTAAGAGAAGCTATTTTATCGCACTGCATGATACATAGATTTTTTCTCTCTCAGATTTTGTGGAATTGTGTTTACAATGTTTACCTGATTAGCGTGAAAACAGTGTCGCTCGCTGCTGCTTCAGCCACCATATGGTAGATTATTATCCAAATAAAGTGTGTGTTCAACAAGCTGACAGAAGTCCATCCATTTCTTTGTTGGAAACTTTTAAATGACAAAGTATAATTGTTGTCATAAATATTCATTTTTCCATGGCCACGGAGGAGAATCACAGATTGTGGGTCACGTTCAGAGAACAGTCACAAACTCACTGTACTTTTTATATTTATTTCAACAAATGACAAGCAAAATCAAATCCCTAGACAGTGATGCTAAAGGCATGCAGATGATCCAGAATATCAACGCCACATGTTTAAACGTTAAGCGTTTTCCTCTCTTTAGAAACCCGTAATGTAGAAAGCGCTTATGGATTTGCTTCCCTTGCTGTTTTTACACATAGAAAAGGTGAAAAACATTGTTCAGTTTTCTCTCAGAACGATGATCTGAGTTACTATTGCAATTCTCGATGACGTACACTGGTGACAGTTTTTCAAAATCACGACAAACAATCAAATACTGCCCTAAACTCAATGGTGGAAAGGCACGCTATCCTGCAAGTGTGGCACATTAACAAAGCAGTTTCCCAGCGTTACGTCACATTTTCATTCTTTATACCACAAACACTGTTTTTAAAAAAAATTTTTTTACATTTTTATCACAGAATAAGATATAAGAATAGTTTCTATACTGTAATGAATGCTATTGGAACTATTTTCGTTTGTGAAAACATACAATATTGTCAATATTTTGTTTAAAATTCGACACAATGTTATAGAACTGTTGTACAAAATCAATATCACATTTGCAGTCGTGCTGATTAGGGATGGGTGATACCAAACTTTTTAAAAAATACTATACAACCATAAACCATTCTGTTTTTTGCAGTGTATGACGTCAA